ACCTTCAGATGTGCTGTTTTCTATACGCGGCTGTTATCTGGCATTGTTTTGTCATTACATTTTGCTTTTTTTATCTGATGATTTCTCCCATCTCATTCTCTCCTACCTTCTCTTTCGTCAGACTTTTTTGCATAGAACTATTCGATTATTTTTCAGGCCCTGTCCTTATACGCTGTTCATTATTTATTTATTTGCTGCTTTTAGCTATTTTTGCCGTTCTTTGCCATGAGCGTTTCTACAGTCATTGCAAAGCCTTCTTCTTTCCTCAGGGGATGTATAATTTTATCCCATCTTTTGAATTGTATGCCTGTCTGACAATCTGCATTGTCCCTGTACTCTATCCTTTGTTTATCGGTAGTGTTTCACGTGCAATTATAAATTCGCATTGTATCTTTCAGTTTGGGCGTTCATATTCTGAATTTTTTCTACTTATTAGCATGCATATTAACATTTTTAACGTTTACGTGATAGTCATCGCTTATTTCCTGTGATTCGCTTTCATTGACGCTCCTTAAGGAGTTTCGTTTTCATCGAACCTTCTTATTTTAAAGAACGAGCAGATTAAAAGAATTCAGCCAAAGCACTAAGTTCACAACCAGCACCACAGCTATTTAAAACTACTGCTAGTAGAAAGTTGTGCGAAGCGGACACTTATTGCACTAGAATTGATCTGTCAGTGGCAGAATTACGACAGCACCTGTTGTAATTAAACAGAATCATGGCGTTTGGTTTCGCACATGCACTGGTATTCGGACAGAGTCTTATTTACCAGTAACTTAAGCATACAGAACATGCAAAAAGGCTGAATATCCAGCTCGATTAAATGTATGGATTATGAGCAACACTCATTGTATTCGGTATAATGATCCGTATGCGAGAGACGGTAAAAGATTGACATGTTTAGGATAATATTGATCCTAACGCTGCCTTTAGCACTATACTTTTCAACCTACGTAACGTTCACAATGATACTGCCATACCGCTTCAGTGGCTGCCCATGATGCCAGAACAATTTAATATTAGACAAAATTTTTATATTGCGACCCTTCAAGTGAAAATTATCCTGAGGAAACATTTGACAGAGAGACGTTACCAGCAACCGCCCGCAAAAGATACTTAGAGTCTTTGCATTAAGCTGAACAACTGGCGGCAAACAGACTAACGGATACTATTTTTGCTTCGATCTGCAACAAATTATAAGCTTTTATCAACACTGGCGACAAACTTGGCTGGGTGACAGATTAAGAATTAGAATACGGGAAGTAAATATTTCTATTTTCAACTTTCTATGGTTTGTGACGCTTTCACGCTTTCTTATACATTCTGGAAAAGTCAAATTTGTCTTCGCTAGGCTAAACTGGGTAATCAATTGCTGCGATATGAGTTCCATGCGTCAATTCTAATAAAACTGTTGGATTTTTAGGTAATAGCAAGTCCCATCATGCGTTTTGCACAAGAATCTGGTTACTTGTGCGGGGTGACGTTTATTGATTTGACTGCTACGTTTGATGCTTCAAACTACTACAAAATAATCCTACTTTTTGCTACTCCAGTAACATTTTTTCTGGGAGTAGTAGCGAGGAAGCAGATAGCAATTGGAGAGTACCGACTTAGATTTGAAGTGCTGCATAAAATATCATCTGAAACATTCAGTCGCATTGAGCCAGAGGTAGCCTCGCGGATAATTTCCAAGCTCTACAGGCTGCATCATCAGAGAAATGTTCCCTTTTGTACTTTTTTCTCTATATCGTTCTATATGCGGCCTAATGTTGATCTCCAGCTCTGCCAATTTCATCTGCTGCAACCGATGCTGCGGTGGCTTAAAAAGACATAGCACGGCATAAAATCCCAGCACAAGGTGGAGCTGTCACACAAATTTTAGTGACGTGTGTATTGTAGAACAATAGAGGTAGCCAAATGTACCTTCATGGAGGTACTTTTCATGTCTGCAAATTTTAGAATAATTCTGCACTTAAGGTAAACAGCTGCCGTAATTATCAATGGTTATATCTGCCATATCTTGATTATTTTCTGGGAACGTCGGAAAGAATGGTTAATAGCCCCGCGAAACACTAAGATTCGAGGTCATCACAAATAATTTCGTGATGCCATGATGAAAATGTTTGGGTTGTAATTCAAACTCAGAAAAACAAATGATCCTTTATTGCATTTATTTTCGTAAAGATCAAGTCGTACGAAGACGGATCGCATACAACACCAACTAACTGATTTAAGTCGGAATGACAGAATGCAGAATAAGGAGCATAATTTACGGATGAGAAAGAACTGTTTACACTTAAAAACAACAAAGTCAGGAAACTCTTGAGGAGACAGCAGCCGAAGAAAACAAACAAAGGAAAACTTTTGGCGAGGAAAACATGATCAGAACAAGTCCGAGCAAATAACACAACACCTGTAAGACATTAAATTATTTTTGGCAATAAAAGAAAATGCGGAGGGACAGCAGCGGCCGTATAAAATCTGCAAGGGTGAAAAAACAAGCGGCGAGCGAGCAAACATGGCCAGGACAAAGTAGAAAATATAGCATATCGGAAAGAAAAGTAACTCATTGAAGGAAACTCACGGAAGGAGCTAGGTGATTAAGGATCAAAAATAATGCCAAGTGCGTAGCAAAAGAGTGTTTACGTATGTCAACTGAGACGCAGAATACAAACAAAAGAGAACATCAGGCACGGAACGCACCGTAGGTTGGGCAAGCAACCGTTACGGTGAAGAACAGATCGATCGAATGACAAACGATGTGGCCGAAGCTGCTGTAAACAACAGTAAAAGGAAACATGGAGAGAATATAAAGGGCATTAAGAACGTACGATGACAAGAAATTAAGCTATGGAAATAACTGACGATAGTGTAACTCAGAGAAAAACTTCTGGAAAGTGGCTATGATAAATGAGATAGCAACAGATACGTCAATTTAAAATTCGAATGCAAACAACGATGAGACAGAATAAAGGCAAAAGACAACGTGCGGACAAAAAATTATTGCTATGGTGAAGAACGGAACATACCTAGCAAGATGGCTGCCGCAAGAAACAAAATAAGATCGACAGATGTCGATGTATGTACTAGCAAGTTACTTATAGCAGTTTACAGTCTGAACACAAAATGAGATCGAACAAAAGCAAAGACAATCAATGCACAATACCGGACTTGAGCGGAATCGAACCAGGCATCTCCAGAGTCCAAGCAGAGCTCAGAAATATTATGATCTTCTCTGCCAGTAGGATGGTTCAAGGTATCAATTGATTGTAAAATGAACAAGCAGCGTGAAGAAAATATGAGATAATGAAAGACGAGAAATAGCTTACTGAGAAAATGCAGGCGGTCAGAAATCGCATAATAAGATGGTGGCCAAAGCAGGGGCAAACAGTAGAAAACAAGCGGGGAACAACAGGAAACCAACTGAGAAACGGATCATAGCCGTACATTTTTGTGTACGAAAATAGACTACGTATTGCGCAGAATTAACGCACTTAAAATCATAATCGCCGACGGGAGCCGCAGCACTAATATTCAAACGGTAGACACGATTATATAAACTTTATTGACCGATTTTCATGCGGCTGTTCCTGATTGGTGGTGAAGTTTGCGAATCATATTCCTTTATGGGAAAGCAGTCAAAAATGTTAACTGATATTGTGGTTTATGAATTATAACTTGAAAATCTCAACCGTACATCGCGACAAATTTTTTGAGCTTCGCCTTCATGCTGCAGGTTGCACGTGGGTGAATATTGTCGTTTAGTTGTTTCGTTTGCTTTCAGGATTCACGTTCTTAAGTTTAACAGATGATTTTTATTATTCCTTTAATCTTCTCCGATGCTGCTGCAAAAGTGCGGGAAAGGCACCTGGAAATTTTTTTTTTATCGAGCCAAATTTCAGCTGATTGGTATAGTGGTCTTGCGCGGTATATTTTGTGAGCAGTCTACTGGTCATGGAGGTGGATAGATGAATGTTCGGCGAATGTCTAAGCAGCTGACTGACGTATTTTTTCCGGGTTATTCTTGAGATTAACTTTGGGTTAATTGGGGAACTCTTTTGCATTTTATCGACAAAAATAGAAAGGAAAGTTTGCTTTCTTTGGAATATCGGCCTCGCGCTTATATCATCTGGCCAGTCCTAGCACCGTTGTTTTCATGAACGTGTTTTGTGAGCATTCATCTTTTGTGGGGGCTCTGATCTTCATTTTTGTGTTATTAGCCAGGAATGTCTTATTGCCTTTTAAAGGCAGAATTGATAGTTTTGTGTGATAATCGTAGACTGTTTATTGTTTCTATTCCACTTATTTATCATGGCTGTACTCATTTATCATTCTAGGAAAAAGGAACGGTGCATAGCCCCTCCCGAGATTGAATCCCAACTCCTTTCGGTTTTTAATCCGATGTCCTACGACTGAGTAAACCCCGTCTGTTGCAATTCGTGGTAAATTCCTGGCTCAAGAGAATTGGTGGTAAAGACAAATATTCAGTGCCCCACTTTCGAAATTTTTCTTGATCATACTCTGAACGTTCCTTTCTACAGACCTGTTCTAACATCATATCCTTTAGCTGACATTATGATCATAGATTCCATGGCCGTTCTTTCTCTATTATATTGTATTTTTTTGCTGGTATATTTCGCGCTATCTGCTTCATTAAGGTACCATGTATTTGGGACCTCAGATAAAGTTAATGCTCCAAATAAAATTCAGCATCAGTCGCTCTTACGTTCGTTCGTAAAATTTAAAACTTGTTGTTTTATGATTTTTGCTGTTGATCGGATTGTGCTTATAGCCATTTTAAATTGAATATAAGTGAATGAATGCGATTTGGACACCTTTGATTTAGTGCCTTCTTCAGGATCAGAAGTGGTACACATCTTCTTGTCCAAACCCTTAGGATGGCCAGTAATGCTTGATAACTTGACATCGACTTCATAGTTGTTTTTAACCACGGAATCTGTCGCTCGATTTAAATCTGAAATTCATGATTTCGCGTCAGAATGACGGCTTTCTTTAGGTCCTTTTAGTTTTTTCCGTAAAGTGAATTGAAATTGCTTCAGAAATACGAGCTTCCATTTGTGGTCTGTCGTTTGCTTGACCGTCGCCGCAAATGCGTTGTTGCTGATGGAAGTTTTCGCGTTGTTGGCGATTGTCTTCTCGATCGTCAGCGCCTTAGTTCTCTTTTCGTGGCGGTATCTTCGACGGCAACCGTCGGCCTCTTTGCCAAAGTACAATCTTCTTCCGCCGATGAAGCGGCAAGACATGACCCTGCAACAGCTGATGGAGTACGATGGCAAGAATGAGAACAAACGACTTTTGATCGCTGTCGATAGCAAGATATTCGACGTGTCCAGCAAATCAGACCTGTATGGCCCAGGTTTGTCCTTTAGCTGTTGTTCGAATGTAATAAGCGGGTGAGTTGAATCGTGAATGTTAGTCATTGGTAACTTTTTCTTTGGTCATTTTTATCGTGTGTTATTTACTCATTACAACGAAGGTCATCCGTTTTTCGATGATTGAAGATATGTTGTACAAGACCTTAATATTTTTTGGCCGGAGTTTTCAGGTTCTGAAAATGAATGTTTTTTTTAAATTCCTTTATATCCATCGGAATAGGTGAGAGCCCAAATTGGAGTTTGCGATGTCACTGCACGAGTGAAGTAGTTGAATTAGCAATTGGATGGACACATTGCCAGAAGAACCCACGGTAGCTGGACCAGGAAAACGTTGGAGTTTCTTCCAACAGGACGTAAACATCCCATTAACCATCCGATCAGTGACAGGATAAGTTGAGGAAGCTGACTGCACCAGGATTGATAAAACTCGCAGAAAAAAAGTTTATGGCAATGTCTTATGGAGCCCTTCATCCGGCAGTGAATCGAAAAAGGTCGATGGCGATTCTCCACCGTTTTCGGTCCATCACTCTTCACAGAAAGACCGTTGGACGAAAAATGACTCTAACATGCGGCCTTTTAAAATATATCCAGGCTGTAGTCTCAAACACTTTCGTCCAGACTGGTAGCCGAAGTCCTTCACCGTGACAAATCTTAAACGCACATGGAGTTCCATCAACTCTAGTTAGCTGACCATTTCACGACTCACGACGAGAAAATCCTTCATAGCTGCTTGCAGCGGCTCATAAGTGTAGGTCACAACATCCTACCTTGCTTTATCCTGCAAAACGATTCCGTAGCTTGGTTGTTACCCACTTTTCGCAACTAACATGCCGATTATGGTTTGGGTGCGACATCGTTTGCACTAACAGTAGTAAATTATGGTTATTGCTATAATAACGATAGTTCTGGATAATTCGGTATCCTTGCGCCCGAAAAAGGCGAATTGTTTTATCTCTACCTTCCGGAGGTTTTATCAAATGCTCTTCATGTACATTGGAAAGGTCGAGGTTCGATATTTTTTCCATAATTCCAGTTCAAGACAGCTCTCTGAATAGTTGAAAATATCTGTTCATTTTTGCTCATTTGCAAGATTTCTAGATCATATTATGCATTAGCATTCACAGAAGCGTTCCATTTTTGCTATTATGTTTATATTGTGTATATTTTTTGATTATGGTGTGAATTGCGATCACTGAAAAGCGGATGTTATTCGCACCGGCGTCTATGGTAGCAAAATTGCTTGCATTCAAGAAGGCTTTTGTCATAGATTGGTAGTTCAAAGTGACTTTCAGCCAAGAATATTTTGACATCTCTATGATATTGACAAATGCAGTCCTCATCATTCAGCGTCGTTTGAGTGAAAGGCTGCAGAGCAGGGTTGTACAATTGGCTCTGTTTGATCGATTGAAACTGTCTCATCGCAGATGTTGAAATTTTGTTTCTCAGAATTCATGTTCAGGATAATTGATCCATCCTATGCATGAAAACTACTCATCGTATTGATGGGGCGAAATTCTGCAGAGTGGCGTTAAATGCGTTTTTCTACTTCATTTTTGATTTCTGTGACTCAGTGCTTGGAATTTCTTTAAATTTAGCCAACAGGTCGTAATCATCTATTCACGGGATAGCAAATATTTTGAAAGAAATCCGCATTTTCTTTACGGATGGGCAGCAACATGTAATCCTTCCTTTCGGGTTCATGGTCAGACTCTTCTTTTCATAATTTGATTTCCTGTAGAGATTTTTGGACTTTTGGATATTAATATCTCGATATTAGATAGTTTCATGGTTCTAATAGATCTTCACGACGAATGAAGAGGTACGTCTCTGTACCTTGTCCTACCATGCAAAACGTTTCGAAGACCTTTGCCATGACTGTTAAGCGTGGACACCGTTGGATTTGTTGAGACTACCAGCTAAATTCAATCTGAATTTACTTGTATTGTAAGATTGAATATTTGTCCTGTTGATGTTGCAAGTGTTTGGAAGGAAACGCGTCGACTGGTAAAAACCTTTGCTTTTCGGTGTTGCTTCTGGGTTACCCTTCCTTGCGTCAAGAAAGCAGTTCGTTGATTTTATGATGGGCCAAGAATCGAAAATTTTAGCAAAACGAAATGGCTTTCTTCTCGAGAATGTGGTAAAGTAAAGTTCTGGTCTTACATTGATGTTTCTTTTGTCCTACCACCATTCAGTAACAAACGCTAAGCGGAAGAGATTTCTTCTGTGATCATTCTTTTAAATTCTTGTTATATTTGTCCAATGTATGTTACTGCTCAGTAGTCCTTGAACTGCTCCCATTTTACATTATTGTTTTTATTGGGTTAAATCATGAGCCTAAAATAGGCGTTTAATTCAACTAGCTCAAGTACAAAATGATTCTGTGTTCGATAAGTCAGGTCTGAATTATATTATGTATTGAATGCTGTCTTTTAACGTTTTATATGTATAGATGGTCCATACGGCTTGCTGGCTGGACATGATGCATCTCGCTCCTTAGCCACATTCACCATGCATCCTTCTGCTGTCAAAGTGCAGTACGACGACCTTGCCGATTTAACGGCGAGCGAAATTAGCAGCGTTAGGGAATGGGCTGCGCAATTTGCACGTACATACCGATGAATGTAAATCTTGCGCTAATTAATTAGTTTAAAAATTTTAGAGATGTATCCCTTCGTTGGTCGCTTGTTGAGACCCGGTGAACAGCCGGATGTGTACAGTGATGATGACGATGAGGAAAATTCTTCTCAGGACGAAACTGATAAACTTAGCGATAAATCACAATTAACGGGGAAGATGTTTGTGCTTTAATTAATCTTATTATTCAACCGTACCGTTCATCGTCGGTTGAACAGTGACATTCTGTCTGGTCTAACTTTATTCTTATACCTTGTCGTTTCAGGAAAGCTTTAATGACGAGTGAATTGCTTCGTTGAACTTTTCGTGACACAGTGCTGAACACTGTTCTATAGCATGTTCTGTATTCTATTTTACGGCCATATACTATGAAGGTAAATAAATATTGCTCCATGTCCGTGTGCATTTCCTGTTGTCATTTTTTGTTAGCATGTATTCGTGACTTACGATAGACTCAGCACTTTGAAGAGCTTCTCTGCTAATACAGTACCGTGGCAGGGATTCAGATGGATAAAAGCGGTAGAGAAAATTTCGGCGTCAATCATTCCGTACCATCGTAGAAGAAAATGAGATTCTCAGTGATCTGGAAATAATGCATGATGAATCCTTTCAATGCTGGAAAATCTGTTGTATTTTTTACCACAGAAATAAAAAACATGTATCCATGATTAATGCGATAGCATAAGAGCGCGAGTTCTCTTACTAGGTTAATCTGCATAAGCAAACTTTATTACGCTTGATTTTTCAAAGCAGTTCATGCAGTTCATAAATTTTTTGCTGTCTTCATTATTGTTGTTGCAACTCAGTCAGAGACGATGGGTTCGATGTAGACCTGAAGAGAGAAGGCAGATAGCACGTCAGATAAGGTTTCAGGGCAAAGGCTTGCGGGGGGGTGCTTACAGTCAGAATTTAGGGCATATCCACACTCAGAGGGAAGGAGCAGGAGCAAGTTGATGAGACCGCAAGGTATACTACTTAGTTTTACTGTCGTCAACGAAGCGTCTAGACTGCAATTCTGAAGTGTCATGCTAATCAGATGTCGACATCTTGACCCGCGCTCAGGTGTTGGTATTCTGGCAGAACTTTACCTCGCTGAGAGAATGGAAGCTTTTCAGTAAAAGAGTGGCAATCCTTTGACCGAAGCTACAACAAGCTAAGGTAGAGACCTTGTTATAGGCCTATGCGCCCAACTTGGAGGGAAAACAAGTTATTCATTGAGGAAATGGGGAGTGCTCCAATCGAAAGCCGACTACGGAGTCCTTCATTTTAATGAGCGATTTTAATGTGCATGTCAGAGCAAATGCTGAAAAGTAGAAGGATGTGATAGCAAATAATGACCCTAGCGACCTCAGCAATAAAAGAATGAAGTTGCTGCGGTTTTTTTTGCAAAAAAGGAGCTGTCTCTTATGAACACTGAAGCATGCATCCGTATACCTGGTATAGGTAAATTTGCATACAGAAGTCGATGATTGAGTTGATAATCGTGTCATCTGACTTAGGACACCCTGGAATAGATGTTCACGTTAAGAGAAACGTAGAGCTGTCAACCAATCATCAGCCTTGTTGTTTTCATGCTACGCAGTGAGCGGCAGA